TCGCATCTGTTTCATGTGGCGTCCGCTCTGGTCGTGCTTAACTCCCCTTCCGTTGCCTGCGCCTGCCTCCGCGCCGTCTGTTTTCTGTGCCGTGTCGTCCTCCCCGTTTGTCTTTGCGTAAATTTCCCCTGCGCCCCAGTTTTGATTCTCCCCCTTCTTTCTTCTTCACTACATTCCTACTCTGTCCGCTTATTCCATCTTTGCAGCACTTTGAGAACTTTTCTCTGGTTTTCGTCCCTCCTCCCGCATCTTGTCTAACTCCCCCCAGGCCCGAAGCAAGGCGCCTCATATCGGCGGCCAGCTAGTGGACGTTGGTGAATGGACCTTTATTCTCAACCGTAACAGCGTGAAAGTATTTAAAGTAGGGTGCACACGCATACAAGGCGTCTCAATCTTGACCCGGTCGTCAAAATGGCAGCACTAAAATCTAACCATGTCTCCTCGAGTAGATGCTGGTATGCCCCAACCCGAGAAATGAGCAGCCCCAAACTAAATGTGTTACGACCCGTTGGAATCAGACGCTCGTCAATTTTTGGGCATGTATAGTTATCAGTACCATCTTAAAGTTAGTTCTGTTGTCTTGAACTTGGTTTTATAAAATACAGTTCATTTTTCAAAAGTAACCGAGATTTTTCGATTGAAAAAGGTAGGGGGGGGGGGGGGGTGGGGGGTACCTGGTTTCAGAGGTTACAATTTAGAGAAATTGGCCGCCAAAGTTTTGTAACTTCCATTGTTTGAGAGTCCTTAAAAGTCAAAATTGAACATTTTGTTCGGAGGATGATTGCCACAGACACATGGAGCCACACTAATACTAGCCTATGAAATGTTACTAACCTTTCTCTGTCTGTCTGTCTTTTGTTTGCTTGTCTGCCTGCTTGTCTGTTTGTCTGTCTCTCTGTCTGTCTGTCTGTCTGTCTGCCCGCCTGCCTGTCTGCCCGCCCGCCTGTCTGCCCGCCCGCCTGTCTGTCTGTCTGTCTGTCTGTCTGTCTGTCTGTCTGTCTGTCTGTCTCTCTCTCTCTCTCTCTCTCTCTCTCTCTCTCTCTCTCTCTCTCTCCTACTTCCCAGTCTTGCAGCACCTTTGAATCTTTATTCCTGCTATTCGTCTACTCCTCCCTGCATCTTGACAAAACTCCACCAGGACCTGAAGTCAGGACCCATCACATCGGCGACCCAGCTAGGTGGACGTTGGTGAAGTGACATTAGTTTCAACCGTAACAGCGTGAAAGTATTTAAAGTAGGGTGCACACGCATACAAGGCGTCTCAATCTTGACACGGTCGTCAAAATGGCAGCACTAAAATCTAACCATGTCTCCTCGAGTAGATGCTGGTATGCCCCAACGAGAAATGAGCAGCCCCAAACTAAATGTGTTACGACCCGTTGGAATCAGACGCTCGTCAATTTTTGGGCATGTATAGTTATCAGTACCATCTTAAAGTTAGTTCTGTTGTCTTGAACTTGGTTTTATAAAATACACATCTATTTTCAAAAGTAACCGAGATTTTTCGATTGAAAAAGGTAGGGGGGGGGGGGGGGTGGGGGGTACCTGGTTTCAGAGGTTACAATTTAGAGAAATTGGCCGCCAAAGTTTTGTAACTTCCATTGTTTGAGAGTCCTT